GGCACTGACTGAGTGGGGGTTGAGCAAAGAAGGAATCAAACACTGGACACCATGTGCTCTTACCCACCCCGAAGATGATCGGAAGACCCACTGCCAACGAAAGCCACAGCGGCCACCAGTGGCAGTGACGACCCCGCTGCCAACTGCCGCTTGCGAGGCGGCGCCGTTGCCCACTCAAGCCACTCGAGCTCCTGTGCTCCTGCTCCGTCTTTAGCCCATGAGCGCTCTTGCTGTCACCTGTGTCAGGTACGACTCGAGATATTTGTCACCTTTCTAGCACCATGCCGTGTCTATGGCGACACCCCCCAGACCTTAGCTGTATCTAAATCCGACGTGGAAAAGATGTTTGGATAGGTAGGTAAGGGAGGGGGGATTTCCCCGGCACAAACAACAGTCCAGTCAGCTCCTGAGACCTCCATGCCGAAGGATACTACGTCAATAGTACTTCAGCTTCGTCGCTCCAACATCAAGCATCCAGGGGGGGAGGGGATGCTCGACAGGCAGCTGCCGGGGTGTGCACCCTGGTCCCACGTCGCAAGCTGCCCACCCAAGAGGCGGATCGGAAGTGGCCAGCCACCAATGAGGTCCATGATTACCTCGTAAGTGACTCTGACAACTTCCCAAAACTGACAGGTGCATGTGTCAGGGGGCCTGCCGCTCTTGGTGCTGGATTTTCGTCACTTCTCATCCGACGAGACCTGGCCATCTTTTCGTGCCCTAAGCCGCACGCGTCTGGCTCCCCACGCCCATACCCTCGCCCGCTGACCCGAGATGAAGAAAAGAAGAGGCATTCGTTGGGCTGCTGCGGTGCTAGGGCGGCCAGCGACACCAGCGAAGCTTTGCATGGAGACCGACACGTACAAGTACTCACGAACGCATGCTGGCCACAAGTTGCATGCACCAAGGGCCGACAGAGTGACCTGTCGACATGACCGTCGACACGCGGGTTACAAGTACAGGCCAAGCCGCAGCGCAGCGATCTGGATCGATCCTTGCATCATGCACGTCAAACATTAAAAAAAATGACAACGGGAAGGCAGAGAGCGCAAAGCTGCCCGCGCTCCGATCCCAGTTGAAGGTCCCTCTTCCGACGCTGTTGCCAGGAGAAGCCAGTCCCAAGTGCCAGGTCGTTGCTCGCCATGAGCCTCTTGTGCCATTATAGCACAATTGGCACCATCAACAAGCACCGTTACCGCGGAGGCGGAGCCTTGGAGCGACGCCGACTCCATGGGGCGCGAATCCAGCTGGCTGGGTAAGACATAGCGTCGACTCGATCGGTATAGGGCCAACGGAATTGTCTGGAACAAGTCCCAAGGCCAGACGCGATCCCCCGGGTTCTTCGCCTACCGAATGAACAAAGGTCCTGAACTAGATTCGGCTGCGGCGATGTGGTGAATGGACAACAGCCCGTACCATTCTCGTTCACACCTCCAACGTTAGATCCCGCTCTACCATTCAGTTGGGTCTGTCGGGTGCCGCTTTGCCAGAACATCCGACTTGGGGCGCAGGCGCACGAATGTGGCTGTTTGGCTTCAGCGAAACATTCGACACAAACAACAACCGACGCTGATACGCAGCCCCTGACCCAGTACTCCAGGGGGAGGGGGACTTGGGTTTGGGGGCTCTGGGCTTGGGGCCTCTGGGCTTGGATGGGGAAAGAAGGCTGGAGGGGCGCGTGCGTCGTCATCCGGTTTGTTCAAACCGCACGTTGCTCCCAGCAATGACAGTTGTGAAATACCCAATCGTAAGCTCCCTCCCCACTTTGACAACGTAAACTAAATCCGCCCCAGGTCCGATGGATCTTGGGGGTCTCCGTTCGATCGACAGATCAGCCCAGCCCCAATGACAGATCTGGCCAACCAATCGCATACTCTTGTCGCCCAGATCTCATCGTCAGCAGCCGCCCACCCGCGTCCCAACAGGCTGCAGCGGTCTTGTGCCCCTCGTGCACTCACTCCTCTTGGGAACGGTGAGCTCCCAGGCACGACGAGTTTGGGCCTCGTGCTGGTGCTGCTGCCATCAAAAGCGGGATGAGGCAGTACCTTGGGCAGTACCTACCAAGGAGGGTCAATATGTCACATATGCCACGACTCGAACCAGGCCGCAATGCGCTCTGTTGCTCGGAACTGGCCTCTTCCTGCCGCAACCTGATTGCCCGTGCTCAACCTTTCATCGCCCCGGCGGACGTAACATCATCTCACTACGCTGGAATTCAGACAACGCTCGTGGCAGCCGGGATACGACAGCAGAGCTCTCGCAAGAATCCGCCTCGATTAGCGAGGCGGACATGCCCCCCCGTCCCCAACCCAAAGCACAGAGGTAAGTGACTGCACCAGGAATAATGTCAGTACCGACTGGCTGCCTGCTGTCCAGTCTGTTCAGGATTGGCACGGAGTCTCGCTCCAAATACGAAGACTCGTGCTGCACTACTCGCCCTGTCAAGGCCTGCACGTCAAGGTTTGATCGACGCCAATCGCAGCAGAGGATCTCTGGCTTTCGTGGATCATCGTTTTGCCTCCAAGCAAACACTGCCTCGTTGAGCCCACGCAGATTTTTGTTCGACGTACACACCAAGCTTTCTGATTTCAAATCTCAAAGAGCAGCCTCTGCTCTCTTCCGGTTCAACTACCTCGCCGTGTTTCATCATCAATGTGACATGCCAGGGCCTGGTGGCTCAACGTGCAAACATAACTACTCTAGTCCCAGATGCTGCCTAGCTGCTGTCCATGCGAAGCTGAGAGTAATCTTTAAGGGGGAGCATTGGCCAGCGCAGAGAAACCTGTCCTGTTTGAGGTGGTGAGGCAAAAGAGATGTCCAGCTCTCGCAGCTACGAAGACATCCGGTGACAGGAGTGCACTGGCCGGGCGGTGCGCATCATGCCCCAACAACTTGCTTGGCCCAACACCGACGGATCTTTCAAAACCTGCAATGCAAGATTGCCTCGGCGAACGGATTGATTCGAGCGGCGGCTCGTGTCACGTCGGTGGCGGGACCCGAAGCCGTTTTAGCGCTCTTAACGTTCAGTCCAAGCTGTCGAACTCTGCTGCACAAAGTACGAACCACTGGGGTTCTACTCGTTTTAGGGATGGGACGACCATGAGACCTCTTTCACTCCCATGATACCATCAAGCCTGAGGTGATGTCCTCCCAGGCCGAGACATGGCCGCGAACAAAGGGCAAATCGACGGAAATCTTTCCCTCGGTCATCAAAGCCGTGTACGCTGTCGATCATCCTCTATCCACTATGAGTTCGCATCGCGCGCACTTGGCAAACCGGGGCGAGTCGGGGGACGAAAGGGCGCGCAGCCAGGCAGAGTGAGTGGTCACTTTCTTTCCCTTGAGCATCAGGCACTCGATACGCATGTCCATTCCTTCAACAGGCAGTGGTTTCCATGGTGTGTCTGTTCTGGGCGCGGCATTACATGTGGTTCGGGCAGGCGAGGCGGCATTACAGCCGGGGTGCTGGACGAATGACCTGACCAGGGACACCGTCCACCGACGTGATGGATGACCATGAGGTGCGTTGCATATTTGTGCGAAATAGTACAATGGCTCATGTTGTAGTGCAGATGAATATCTTATCCATCGCCCACTCGTCCCCCCTCTCGATTAGACGCAGGTCGCCCACCCCTTCATCGGGCAATTTCATCTACGCAACCGCCTTGGCCTTCCTTGCCCAGGGCCAGGGCCGGGTCCAGGGACAGGGCCTAGGACGAAGGTCGCCCGGTGCCAAGCGACCCCTGCCCACCGGCCAGACACATCGACACGCCCTGAGAACGAGACACGCCCCCCCCCCCCCCTCTCCCTTAGTGGCTGTTCGTGTCACTGATGGTGGCCCCCTAGTGTTTCTGCCATCTTTCCACTCTGCTTCTTGAGCCCACCCTATCCCCGTGTCGTCCTTGCGCAGCTCTTCGGACCCCTATCCCTGCCCCTGTCTCCCCTCTGCTGGCACGTCCCAGTGCTACCACGATCCCAGCCTAGGCTGCCCGCTGCCCGCCAGCAGGAACGCCACTCAAAGCATCCTAAGCCTAAAGCCTGCCGTGGTGGGAAACTCAGGGCTCTCGCGGTGGGTTGTCTTGTCTCTGGTATTCTCGGCTTCTTACTCGCGCCCTGATCGACCTGTTGCCAGATCATCCCAGCCCATGCCTCGCAGTCTCGGGCCTCTTCAGGTTTAGTTGCGTCCCCCAACGTTAGGTTAGGTAGAACTGTGCTCCCCACAAGACCTGAGTCCATCTCGACCGGTGCCCGCCTCTGCCCGCTCTTCATACCACCTGAGGGTACCACTGACTGTGGAGCACCAGAGGGCCCCTCCCCTTTCCCCCACCTGCACTTTACTTAGAAAGGCGTTAAGCCATCATGGGCAGTGCACTTCCTTCTTCAGTTCGGTTTCTTCACGACAAGCACACGCTCCCACGCTGGTCACGGTCCGATTCACCTCAGGTGGTACTTTGCTAGTCGAATACTCTTTTTGTCTGAGCTCTGCTCATGTCAGTTTCACTATTCACAGTGGACCATCTCAATTTGTCAAGGTTGACCTCTCGCTAGGTCCCCTCCTAGATACCTGCTACCCACTTCCTCTTTGGGCCTCCCATCTGTGCGCCGGCTCCTTGGTCCTGCTCAAGCTCGCCGGCCATCCTACCTCCCGAGAGGGCCACTTGAATTTACGAAAGGAAAAGCCATCCCACCTCGTGCTGTCACGTCCTGATATCAACCATCTTGTTGCCACGACATCGGCCCAGACACACCGTATTCTTATACCAACGATACCCCATAACCACACGTCAACCATCCCGTCAACATATACAGGACGAGACAGCAACGCCGGACGCCACACCTCTTCTCGCCACGAGCAGCGCTGCTTCACACACTGAACTGCGCCCTTCCGCTGTGCGGAACCTCAATCACCAGTTTCATAGTCGGTTATGGGATTTAGTCCTTCGTGGCCTGCCCAGTTCACTGCACCTCCAACCACATCTTCTTCCCACGCACAGCAGCCCAGCATGTCGATGCTCGCCATGGCTGCCCCCTCCCAACATGCAGGCTTCAAGAGAGAGTACCCCTGGGACAATGGCAGCTCGATGGAGTATGTACCACACTCTCGGCCCCAACCCGACAGGATCGAGCTGCCCTCCATTCGCCAGGTTCGTTCGTTGCTTCCGCCCTGACCATGCGGACTTGTTTTGCTCACTTAAGTTCAAGGCGTTCCCAGAAATCAAGCTGCGTCTCCAGCCTCCAGAGGCACCCGCCAGGACGACATCCTCAACTACTTCGCCGGTTGTCGGTCTTGCGGGAGTAATGACTCCCCCAGAATACATACACTCGCCAAGCTCGGCGTCCAACAAGCGCCGCCGACTGTCAGTAGAAGATGAACAGGACAGAGAGAGAGTCAACCGAGTTCCACGGGCGTACGAGAACCAGGGCCAAGCACATCACCAAAGGCAGCTGTCCCCTCAACGGACACTACCCGGGCCACCAAACGATGGCTGGGCGACATCGGCAAGGACAAGCCCTTACGCAGCACACGCCCCGATGCCTCCTATGCGTCAAGCAGTCCCCATGGAAGTGTACGACCGCCAGGAACACCGCCCCACACTTCCCAGTCTGCCTCACATGGCTTTGGATCGCGAGCCTATGCACATGCAGCGGCAACGGGGGCATTCGAGCGAGGAGTTCCAACCCATCAGGGCAGCAGCAGGCATGGCCATGCCCAACGCTCCGGGGATGGAGACCGCACCAGCCTACCGAGCAGGAGGCTATCCTTACAGCTATCATCACTCCAACCGGGCCCAGTCCCTCTCCCTGGGAGCCATCGCACCCTTTGACCGCACACCATTCTCATCAGCTGCCCCAGGTTTCAACCCGCACTACCAGGACCTCATGAGGCTCGGTGAGCTGGGTGGCATGGGCATGCATGGCGATAACAAACAGCGCAAGCGTCGTGGCAACCTTCCAAAGGAGACCACAGACAAGCTCAGGGCGTGGTTTGTTGCCCACCTTCAGCATCCGTATCCCACGGAGGATGAGAAGCAGGATCTGATGCGCCAGACTGGTCTGCAAATGAGTGAGTGACTTCCCCCCTTTTCCGTACCGAAATGACCCTTAAATCCGGCGCTTGTAAACCCACCGGTCCCGACCCGTCGGAGCGCCCCTCGAACCTTCTTTCTTTGTAGGAGAGCGCTGGACATCAAGGCTAATACGTCTCCCTCTCACCAGACCAAATTTCCAACTGGTTCATCAATGCTCGCCGTCGCCAGCTGCCCGCCATGATCAACAATGCCCGCGCCGAGTCGGATGCCACGTCCGGTCGGGCGGGTACGGAGTCTGGCAAGATCCTGCCGTCCACGGAGCGCGGAGAGGGTGGCAGGGCCAGTGTGCCTCTCAGTGATGGCGAGGCCAGCCACTACGAGGAAGACCTTGAAACTCTGCAGCAGCGTCACGTTGCGCACATCAAGAGGGGAAGCGTATGATGCAGGACCTCGCCAGTAAAGACGAGTACGAGAATTTGTGTTTGATTTTGATCATTTCAACAGCGGAAGCTTGTATAATCAGCGAGGCTCCTAAGGAGCTGGTCTGCACAACCTAATACTCTATAACTGTTTATATCTCTTTATATCTCTGGCCAGGCGGCGTATTCTTCACAAGGCAACAAACGCGGATGGAGTTTTTCAAGGGGAAAGCAGTGTATGGCACAAAAGGGGGCTTCTGATGGCTGGCGGACCCTTGCCCAGGGGGCGGACACGGGAGGACAGTCACGATACACATGATATGTTGAGCGATGGTTTGCTATATTAGTTAGACCTCAAGAAGGAACCAGGTTGCTAGAAAGAATGCCACAGATGGCTTTTTGGAATCGTACTCGCGCTCTCTGCACATATGACGAATATCACGATGAAACCACTACACCCCACGATCCAGATCCCAAGTCAGCCGCAGGCCAACGAGTCATTAATACGGCCCAGCGAGCAACACAACGACACGAGCAGAAGAAGGGGCAGAGAGGGGGGTTCGGAAACGGGGTGGGCCGAAAGTCAACATGACACCAGTCCGGTGGTACCTCCTCTACCCAGCGGCGTGTCTACAACCGGTCCTAGAACCACCAAGCCGGCGCCTAAGCCGTTGACGGAGAGGGCCCCTCGCCTCCTCTAATGACGAGGAGGCTACTGACGAAGGGACCTACATGTCCTATTCTTATCTTCGCGTCCCATGACGGCAGTGGTGCCTCCCATTAGCGTCCGGCGGTCCAGCTCCCTCGCCGACACCCCCTTAACGGCATGCCAGGGCGCGTCTTCCGCCCGGCTGTCGGGAGCTTTGCTCGTCCAACCAGCTCGCCAGCTATTCCTCGCCCTCTCTCTCTACGCGGCACTTTGAAAGAGATGGGACAGGATCCCTAGGCTGCCTCGGGACTGGCACGAACATGAACAGTCCCCTCACAACACAAGAGTGCATTTCTCGCCCTCGCCCTCGCCCACCCCCCCCCCCTTTGTGCTATTCCGCCGCTCAGTGGAGCCGCTGGGTGCTCGGTCACTTTTTTTCTTACGCTTCCCTCCTTGTCTTGTACTGCCTGCCCCCCCCCAGTGGCATGGTTGGAGGATGAAGGGGGAGGGGGGTGCGTGCTCCCCAGGAGAGCTGTGAGTACCATTGTCTACGTTTCTCAGCATGAGACTGACCGCCTCTCTGACATCTCTCCCTCGCTGTGCTCTTTCCCTGCCCGCCCCCTTTAAGCCACCACCCGGCGCCCCCTGATGAAACAGTAACACGGGGTGAGAGGTGGGAAAAAAGAAGGCAATGGCCATGTTGGTGACTTTTGTGTCAGGAATGCTGCCAAGCGCCGTCTCTCCTCACTGGCCCGCGCCACTACCATCACCTACCCACGCCCCCCCTCCCCATTCTCCTACCACACCGTGTGGCAGGCAGGGCTTGGTGATCGGACGGGAGGGCACATGCACAGGAAGAAGCAACGTTTGCTGAGGGAAAACTGGGTCGGGGGCGCGCAAGGCGTTTAGGCAGGGCACGCACAGAGCTGGTAACGCTCGTAGAGAAGGGGGGGGGCCTCCAACAACGCTGGTTGAAAACTCCCATGGTGAAGGGGAGCAGCTGTCACCTACGCAGCCCTCTCACGGGACAGCGAGTGAGACACGACAGAGCGGGAACGGCGGCCGCCGCTGAGAGGGCGTGATACCCAGGGTGCTGGAAGATGGGGAGGGACGACGGCCGGCCGCGGAAGGGAAACGGCATGGCCTTTTTTTTTTCTTTGGGGCTTTGGGCTTTGGCAGTTCTTTGGAGGGTCTCGCTGAATTACTGCAACGGGTTGGTCTGCCTGACTGCCTGCGAGGTTTCCCCGAAAATGGGGCGGAGGGTGGTGGGAGGTAAGGTTTGGGAAGAAAAACCTGCCAGACGAGGGAGTCTTGGTGCTGCTGGATCAGCAAGTGACAGGTCCAGTAACAGGTCTTGGCAGACATCAAGGGAAGCACGGATCGGAGGCAGAAACAAAATGGCGCGGGTGGCGAGACGGGGGAAACGAGCACAAGACACTGGCACGGACAGTGATGGGCGCGCGGACGTCGAGAGATGTGTGAGAAGGGGGCGAAAAGGGACGTGAGGTGTGGCAATGGGGTTGACTGAGAGGCGGAGGGGCGTGTGTCTTGTGTCTATATATGTGTGTGTACGGTGACAGGAGGAGCATGTTGAAATACATGCCAGTAGAGCGGCCTCCAGGAGAAGAGAAGGGCGGTGGAGGTATGTATCGTGGCGTGGCTGCGCTGTCGCAGAAACATCGCAGGCCACGCATGCGGGCACGCAGAGTAGCATCACATCACGAACGCAAAGGCATGTAGCCGTCACAAAGGTAGGACGAAACAGGAGATCGGGTGGCGTGGGCCTTTGTGGGTGATTCGGTTACTAGCTACAGACCTGAGGCCAAAGCTACCGTCACTTGGCTCGTTCCTCCTCTACAATATACGTGCCTGCTTCAGGTCAGAGGGTCCTACTTGCTAGGACCATCCCATCCTTTCCAGGAGGACAGACAGACCGTTGTCACGGAACCAGAACTAGACATCAAGTGGGCTCGCCCAACCTGTCGTCATCCGCTTGGGACGATCTCTCTTGACCGATGATGGGGTCTGGAGACAGATAAAAAGGGGCAACTAACGAACCTAACCAAATACATGGCGTCCTGAGGTGTTGTACAAGAACTTTCAATGTCGTTCGTCTATCATGGCTCACGCCAGTCGAATAATGAACACGGATTACTGTGATTCAGCTCGAGACATATCGCATGCCAGTCTTCGTATGCAAAACTACTTCTCTTTGTAGACTTGGCGTGAAGCAATGGAGACTGGTCCATCAAGTAGTACCCTTCGTATTGATAACAATCAACAGCCACTTGCTTCCATTTAGTGCCGGGAGTGGTGGGCAGCAGATTCAACATGGGCACATACTCATGTCGGCTAGGGCAATGTCAGTGTGGGTAGGCAGTTCCATATCCGGTGAGATTATGCAAAGTCTTTGTGGCAGCTGGCAGCTCATGCTTGGAATGGCAATCGATGCGGGGGGTTTGTGACGGGCCTTGACGGCTCGAACAATGATCAACCTCCTATGGCGGACAAAGCGTTAGGGCAACAGTCAGCGGATACAGAACATCGGCCGAGACAAAATTGGCACCGTTGAGGCGGTGGACTCGTGGTCATGCACTTGGGTCCAGATTTGGATGAGATGAAAGGCGGCCTTTCTTCCATGCTGTGGTCCTGTTCGTCGAGGGGCAATCGAACATTGATTTACAAGGGGACAGCGTGACTGGACTGTGGATAGACCATGCCGGCCTCGCGGCCGTCAAATCTTGATCACGAGATATCTTCGGGCCCAGGTCCCCTTCTGCATGCTGAGGATGTCACGGGAGACGAGGCATATCGATGAGAACTGGTTGAGGTTGCGTAAGAAGCACATGTAAGAAGGTGTGCGGTCCAGGATGTTTGGAAGTTTATCTCTGAAAAGGCCCGGCTGCACATTGGCAACAGGGTCTGCCTAGATGGGGCTAGGCACGGCACTGCATTTTATGCAAAGGATCGATATCCGATGTGTACAGGACGAGGCCAACCAGGGCCCCTAATCCCAGGAGGGTGGGCGATGCATCATGCCGATCTCTTCCTTGCTCTCTCCTGTACATGTATGATAGAAGCTCAGGAAGACCAGCCTAGCAGGCCTAGCAGAGGAAGGGCAGGTGTCATGACGGATGCCGGAGACGGGCCTTCGACTCTGTCTGGAAGGTCACAACGAAGGCGTGGAGTAGCGCTGCTGATCCAAGAGTCAGACGTCAAGGCTAAGACCAGTAGATGCTGTCCCGTGCTTGGACGTTGCCGCTGCCAGGGCTGCCAGGCTGCAAGAGGCCAGGTTAGGATGGGATGGATGGAGATGGAGCCGGGACTGGCTGGCTGGGATTGGGGCGGGAGTGCAGCCCGGCCGTCGGCACATCTGCAAGGAGCTAAAGGAGCCGGAGTAAGCGGAGGCAGAGAGAGGCCTGTAGCACTCGAATCGTTGCTTGCTTGGGCCCTATTGTGCCATGCTGATCGTCCGGCACCGCACTGGCCTGGCCCTGGGGGGAACAGGTCATCGACCGCTGGGTGCTGGACTGGCAAGTCGCTGACTTGTGGTCGGGGGCGCCCATCTTTGGAGGCTGAACATTGATTGCTGTTGAGACGGAGGGAATCGAGTCGCAAAACCTTGCAAAGCTCTCAATGGGTCTCACGGAATGTGGGTTGCATGTGCCGATCAGTCAGAGACGTGGGAATTAAACGGATAGTGGAAGATCCGCAGGGCGTGTGTGCGTGCCATCCGAGACAAGACAGCGGTTTGTCTTGATTGAGGTCGGTCTAGATTGGTTTCTCCAACCTTGGAAATAGTTTCGGAGGCGTTCGACGAAGCCTCGTGGCGGCGCACCAGGGCTCAACGATGAGCTCGACCGTGTTGGGGGAACGATGAACATTTGGCTGACTCGAGGTGATCGTCAGCCGAGGGATTGGGGATGACCATGATACTTGCCCAGATCGTCGTCATTTTTCTTCAGCTCTGGCCGGTGACCCGTCAGCATCCCATTGATGGCCAGTGCCTAGACAAAGGACGACCGAAAGGGGGAGGATGGCGCAGTTTGGTGGCTGGGGCCGGACCTCGAGGATTTTCAATGGGTTCGGTGCCCGCTGCCGAGGAATTTCGGCCTGTGGTGTGCGTGTCTCGTGCTCGTGCTAAACAGTTGTGTGCCGCTGCTGGTCGGTGGTTTGGCCCATGCTGTGCTGTGCGGCCATGAGCGAGCGAAACCCACACCCAATCTGATGCAGCTCCAGCTGTCAAAGCATTGACTTCCTTGGGGTGACAGGCCGAGGTGCGGTATGGTGCGGACTTCCTGGGATGGACCGGGCCACGTCGTCCTTTAGCGGGCTGTACGTCAAAGGGGTAACGGAGGGCGTACATTTGCTAGTACATGGTACTATGTAAGTCTGCAGGCAGGTGAGGTGTGGGCGTAAGCATAGGGAGTAGTGTCGAAGTGCATCGCGGGAATCCCTGGTTCGTCTGGATAGCCTGTACCTGTCTTGTCGCTCGAAAGCACGATGTTGGGTTAAGACGGTAGGAATGAAGTGGAATGAGGAGCCCCCTTGGTCTCGATTTCGATTCGATGGCCCGACGGGTACCGAGTCGTTGAGGCAGCATCGTTCGTGGCTCGTGCGGGGGCAGGTGCAGCCGGCAGGGATAGATACACACTCACCCTACCTGCCTTGCCTGCTTGCCTGCTTGCCTGCTTGCCTGCTTGCCTGCCTACCCATGCTACCGCTGCCTACGATACCCTGGGTAGGTGCCCTGCGTTGCCGGAAAATCAGTGGGGCGTGGGACGTTCCTGACCAAGAGGGGGATGGGGAGAAACAGTGGGCGCACGGGTTCTTCCTTCCCAGACAGGGCCGCGGTGGGCACCGGCCGTGATCAGGGCCGGCGGATCAGGGCTTTCAGGGCATTCCATGACAATGGGTACAGGGCAGGGGGGGGGCGTGAACGGCGGCGATCGCTGGAAGGCGCGGTACTTGGGGCGTTTGGGGCAGGCACCCTGGGCACCCTGGACACTGGCCCGAGTTGCCATGGATTCCACCCAATCATGCCTGCTCTTAGCCGATCTGCCCCCCGGCCACCGCTAACACGACACATCGGAAAGTGTTATTTCTCCCATGTTGACCTCCGTCCGTCTCCCCAAGCTGGACCCATCGTGCGTCACAACCTGGCCTTACCAGCTTGCCCCCTTCTACAGTACATGTACCACCCTAACCACCAAAAACAACCTCTGCGCTAATTCCACGACGGTGCGAAATGTCGGAAATTTCTGCCCCCATCTTGGATGTTTTGGCGTCGTTTCTCCCCCCCCCCCCGAGTCCGTCCACCTACCAAAAGGCAAAGCGGGCAACGCTCGGTCACATTCACGTCTCTGCCTCGCGTCTCGGCCGCTTTGCCTTTCGACCACGTCCTTGGCATTGCCCTGCAGAAATGGACTTGAGAACAAGCTTGCATAACTCTCATCCTTCGAGAAGACATGACAGCTGTCGCCCCTCGTCTCAACTATGGTGCAGCTTCACCACACGACTGCCAGCGGCCCCACCTCTGCACAACTAACACAACAACCAGCACAAACAGGTCGTACCCAGCAGACACGGTGGCACGGAGTTCTCCTGGCCGTACGTGCGCGATATGCGCGTTTGCCCCCCTCGTTGTTACTCCCAGGTCTGTTTCCTAGCATGGCTGAACCGACAGGGCTTTATTTGGGAAGGGCCGGGGAGAGATTGTGATATCCCGCTCTTCGCCATCTCGCGCCGTCTGCCGTGTATCCGAGCCAGTACCCTTCGCGATCAGCTACATGGTATTATGAAATGCATTCATTGGCAGGGTAGCAAAGTATGGCCCAAGGCCATTACGCTGCTGGGGTCGAAAGACCCATGATCCCCAGTGCAGCCAGGGCACCCGGTAGGTAGCAGTTCTGTCCTGGCACACTTGAACACCATGCGTACCGTACATAGTACCCTCTGCGCACTTCAACCCCATCTTTCCCACGGCCCAGGCCTGGCTATCTTCGCCTTTCGGCCGTCGATCCCCTGGATACCAAGCAGTCACGTCAATCATGTGTCGAATCAGTCCTAGTTTGCCGCGACAATCTTTATTGTGCTCTCCCTCAACCCCAGCCTCGATCAAGCCCCCTCCCTGGCTTCCGGCGGCGGATTTAGCCCCTCCAACCCCAGACCCCCCACAGGTGTTTGGTTTGCGAAAGGAGGACCAAGACGCAAGCACTCAGTCAGCATATCGACCATCGTGATTTATCAGTGAAACCGCTTGGAGCCCCAGCCAGACTCCTCTCATTACATCTCTAACCTTGGATCGAGAGCCTGTGCGTTTTCGATTCTCCGTGCAAAGGCGTTCGCCAGTGATCTCTTTCCCACCATAGCGGCCAGCTAACACGGTCGCCGGGCTGACCCTGCCGAACGCCTGACGCCAGTGATCCAAAATCAGCCCCCCACCACCACCAAACGTCCCAGATGTCGATGCGGCTTGAAGACAAGTTTTTCGAGCTCGCGCTTGTTCTGGTCGGGCGCCACGCCTGGCTAGCCCACCGTCCTCCGTTGTTGATTCGCCGCCTCCGCTTGGAGCCCTCGTTCACCGTACGGCTCGGCCCCGCGCGCTATGTTCAAACCAGGCGTCAGAATTGGCCCGCCAGTATAGCCCATCACCTAACATGGACTCGTCGAGCAGTCCATTGGGGCTAATGTCTCACTGAGACTTTCTCATTTGGGACATACTTGCTTCCGCCTGGCCGCCTAGGGAAAGCCCCAACATGATGCCGCCTCGTGTCAACCAACAAGCTGAAGGGGCTTCTGACCAGCAACGAGACTAGACCCGTCCGACAAGCCGCCGATATGAAGCCTTTGGGTCGACTCTTCTTGGACCTAGGCCGAAACTGGCCATCCGCCTCATGTGCGCTAGAAGAAGACGGGAATCTTCGTGGCCGTCAAGCACCCACCGTGGGCAATTGTTTCCGGCCCTCATCCGGTATGGAGCTGGGGTGGCCCTTTCACTGTCCCGGTGCCATGACCTAGGGAAGGAAAGGGGCGCTGCCAGCCGGCGTACTAGCAGCGAAAGCGTTTGCCGTTTGCCTCTCTACATCTAACCTATCTGGCTTTAGCTTGGCGAAACTTGGGATTCAAGGTTGTGGCGATTGTCCATCTCAAATCACACCTGCACCACGTTAGCTGCTGCAACGTCACGGGTCGCCGTGGTTTGGAAAGGAAAAGGGTGTGTGTGTGTGTGCGTGTGCATATCAGCTGGAGCTAGCTCCCAAGGTAGAGGGGGAAACTTCCGTCATGGCACATGCCAAGCTGACCACACACAGCGTCGTGTCTTGACAGATGATGTGCCCGCCTTAAGTCATGGCAGCCGTCCTCCAAAGTGTACAGCTCAAGAAGGAACCCGACGGGTTAATGTCCTCGACTTTCTCTGGCCCTGACAGGTTTGGACAAGTGAGCAGCGGCTCGTCAAGGACTACAGAGCCGACCAAACAGACTCACAGGTCGAAAGCCCGATCCCTGGACGACACCACGATTCAACAACTTCAAGTTGGCGATCCATTCAATGAACTTCGATTTAAAATGCCTACGCTCTGGTTGGAAGGCTGTGGAAATGAAGAAGCTCATTCAAATGATCGTCAGAACTAGGACCCTTTGACTGCTGCCGCAATTTTCCAAGGCAAACGTTGATGAAGGCACACAGCCGGCTAAGAGTGCTGCCACAGTGAGAACCTAAGTGACGCTCAGTACACACGCCACATGTGGGTTTCCGCTCAAAACGTGGCCTTTGATCACAGAGATTCGAGTTGAGGGTTTAAAAACTGAAGAGCGGGTGAAAGAGTTCATAGAGGTCTGGCGTCTTGTCTTGGCCTCTGACAGTGTTGAGCCCATTCCGGATATCGCTGTTTGATTAAGCTCCGACAACGTCGTCATAGACTTACAGAAACCACCGCTTTGGTCTCCACTTTAGCAGTTTCGTCGTTCGGTAAAACTTTTCTCCGCACGCGCACGCGCAGTACGTACCGGATGCAGAATGTCTGCCCCTTGCTTTGCAGCAGTTATTGCGAGGCGTTTATGCCTGTTGACGACTTGATGACGGCTTTGGCGTTTCCTTGCTCTCCCTTCTGAACTTTGCCCTCCGTGTGCGGGCAACCTGCGTTCTGTGCCGTCATCCCCCGACTCGACCGCCTTGGCATTTGCTCCGTGTCCGTGCCGCGATGAACTACGACACTGCCCCGGCTGAGCTCGGAGGCTCCGGAGCCGGGACCCAGAACCCCGAGTCTCTGGCTTGTGTGACCTGCCGGTCTCGCAAATTGAAATGCGACAGAGTGAAACCTGCGTGCAGTCGCTGTCGAAAGGTCAATGGCGACTGCATATATCGTGAGTCGAGGAGAAAGCCGGCCTTCAAGCGGAGAAATGTGAGAGAGCTGGAAGAAAGGCTAGGTATCTCATCGCCTTGCCCCTTTTTCGCAACCCTTGTGAATCGTCCACTCACTCCCTTCAGCTCAGGTCGAAGGTCTTCTCAAGGAGAGCGACACAAGGCCATTCAATCCCGCCAATTGGGCCAACCTTCCGCAAGATCAGTGGCTGACAGGGGTCTTTGACGACTTCCTAATTGATCCCGATATTGGAATGGCAAAACATCGCGCCTCCATCCCAGGATCAGAAAGCCTGCTGCAGAATGCGGCCGTTCCTGGCCTCGAGGTGCCTCCAACGTTCGCGCCATCGGGGGAATTGGTGGCGCTTGGATTGACAGAGCCACTGCCCCCCTTCGAGTTGATGGAGGAAATGTAAGTCTTGGAACATCTTTCTTGGATACACCAATGCTGATGCGGCCAGGAACAACACATACTTCCAGCGTCAGCACCCTTTCCTTCCCATGATTCATCCGGGACGGTATTTTCAGGCCTTTTACTCGGTACCGCATAAAAGGCCCCCCATGTGCCTACAGTATGCCATCTGGGCGACAGCGTCTAATGGTCATGAGAAGTATTCGCAATATCATGACGTGTTCTACAAGCGTGCCCGACAATATGCGGACAATGATGAGATGCGGGTATGTCTGAAAAGCTAGCAATGCAATGCGAGGAGAAGCTCACTCGTTTCAGGGCTATGGCGAACACTTTGTCACGATAGCTCACGCCCAGACATGGGGACTACTTGCGATGACCGAGGCGCGCAGCATGCTTTTCACAAGAGCTGCCATGAGTTCGGCCAAGGCAGTCCGTCTTGTAGAGATGATGGACCTGCACCGAATTGATGGCGCTGGACACGACGTGGCTCCTACGCTGGCGCCGCCCAAGGACTGGACTGACGTTGAGGAGCGCCGCAGAGTGTTCTGGGGTGTTTTCACGATTGACTGCCATGCAAGTATATCTACTGGCTGGCCGACGTTGATCGATCCCCACGATGTGAGCTCTTGGGCAGCATGTACCCTACTGGTCTCAGTGCTAAAATATGATGCCAGATCACAACAAACCTGCCTTCTTCAGAAGAAGCCTTCAATGAATGCCGGGAGGAGAGGACCTCCAGTCTGGCAGAAGCTTTCTCTGGGGCTTGGTACTCGACGTTCTCGGGGCCGATCATCATCTGCCACATTTTCAACGAGATTCTACGGCATGTTCACCGAACCAAGGCAACAGACCGCCCAGAAGACGTTGAGTATGGAGGGTTCTGGCACAAACATCGAAAGCTCGATAACATAATCTCCAGTGCATTCATGTTCATGCCCGAAAGGTTTCGACTACCGAAAAACCTGCGGAACCCGACAGCCGTGCACACCAACCTGAATCTGCATGCCGGTATAATTTGCCTGCACCATGCTGCCGTCGACAAGGTCGAGACCTATAATCTACCCGAGTCTTTGCGTATCGCGTCTCAATCACGGTTGAGAACGGCGGCAGAGGAGATCGTTAACATTGTCCGGCTATCGAGTCATGTGAGCCCCGGGTTTGTATGTATACCCTGCCGTGCCTTGTCGGTCTGCTCGTGTCTGCAGTGCTAACGGCTTTGCAGAAAAGCCCTCTCGCTGCTCTATCTATGTACTGTGCTGTATCAGTCTATGTCTACATCGCCAAGATAAGCCCGCAGTCCGGGCTCTCGCGCACTGATCTTAACAACCTTGAATTCTTGATAAACGCCATGGAATCTATTGCCAAGAATCATCTCATCACGCAGGCGTTCCTGCAACAAATCTGCGCCGACGTCGAGATGAATGGCCTAGCCTCTTTCATAAACTTGCCAAGCTTGGCGAACCACAGGAATGCGTTTGGATGGTCGTCTCCCAATGTCCCCCTGCTCGTCAAAAGTTACCTTACGAAGCACACGGGGATTCAGCCACCGCTATCGGGCAGGCTGCCTCCCGGCAACCGCCACCCATCCACTGCTCGCCCGGGACAGTCTGGCTCGAGCGTGGAAGAGCTGAATGATCCGCCCGGGTTCAGCGATGTGCTACCGCGTTCAGCACAAGACATTCCGGGCAAGAGGAAGCGGCCGGCACAACCTACACAATTTCCCGAGAATCCGGGCGCAGAGTACGACAACATAAATTTCAACGACGTGGGCACCCACACCAACGAATTTTTTAGCCGGTCGGGGCGAGGTATGTACGGCAGCGGTCTGCTTCGCGCCACAGGTGTTGCACCCCGAGTCAACACAGGGCCAGTCGTCCTGCCGCATAGGACAAGCACAACGGCATCACCTTCGAGGTACAATATCAGCACACCCTCCCAGGCCACAAGTGGGGACACGCCTGGCCCGAGCATGGGGTTCGTGGAGGGCGAAGACACAGGTGTCGGTTCTCTGAGCCACGAAGGGCTTCCTCCTCTCGCGTCGGCAGTTCCACCTTCGTTCTCAGGGGCTTTCGGCATGCCAAGCTCCTTCATGTTCTCACCTGATGAGAACAGCATGGGGGATATGCCGCTAGGCGCAGCCGGGGCTGCTGGTGCCGGGATTGGACCGTCCGGGGTGGACCCGTGGACCATGTTGGCAGGAAACGATGAGGGAAGTTGGCCATCGGCAGGTCTCGCTGGGGCCAAAACGAACTGAACATGCTCTGGGTTTTTGGCGTAACGGGTTTGGTCATTTCGGCGTCTTGTATAAGAAGAATATCCAGGGTGGGAGTGACCAAGGAATGGGAGGCGTAGTTGGATGACGCTGGGGAAATATGCAGGGCTATTCAGGCAGCAACTGAATGCAATGCCCGATTTGTTAGAAAGGTCATGTTTGCGAGGAACATGGTCATCATTGGTGTGTAGGAGTACTGTAGGATGATGGGAGCCTGGGAGGATTTCGCAGTGCCCAGTCCACAAGTGTGGCAGTGTTGGCGTCAAGAGTGATTGTGGTAAGACGAAATTCACGTGTCGGTTTGCCGATTCGGCACCGACGCTGGGCGATGCCTATGATGTTCCGGGCGCCGCGAATGCGATCAATCGAGCCATTGACTATGGTCGATCTGAGGACTAAGCCTATGATAGACTTCCTGCTCCTCTCTTGTCACTTCTCAGCCCTCCTGAGTCAGTGGGGGAACATTCAGAGCGGTCCTTTGAGGCGGGCGTAACTTCGCCTCGGTAGCCCAGAGCGGCCAAGTCAGGACCTACCTCCCGTTACTGTATACGACCGTGTGCAAGGTATAGAGACCCCCATGTCCGACAAAGCTTCCGCGGTGCCGGACCCGACGCCGACAAGGATCAGGCGGAATACAGCCTGCACGAGCTGCCGCGATTCCAAGGTATGTTTTCTTGCCATGAGCTATCGTCAACAGTCATCTTCCCTGCAGAGGTCGTGCGGTCTGCTGACATGATGCATACAAGGTCAAATGCAACGCGAGCTCGGTTCCTGATCAGTCATGTTACCGCTGTTGCAAGCTTGGGATCCAGTGCGTGGTGGACAGGTCACACAAGCGCACGACGCGACGAAGGTGTGTGAGCGGTCGAGGGCAGCGCCTAACGTCTTCCCGTTGCATCTCATAGCGATATATCACTGACTTGTACCCTCTGTTAGCAAACTAGAGGAGCTCGAGAAGGAGGTGCTCACCATAAAAAATGCCGTGCAGAATGCCCCGGGGCTCACGCCGAGTCCGACTCCGCACGGCCGACTGTCAGGGCCGGCGTCGGGGCCGTCTCCAAACCTCAGCCCCACAACCTATTCATCCCTCCCTGAGCGGCCAAGAGCACCACTGCCGGCTTTGCCATCTCCCCAGAACCCCGAACGTGAGGCCCGACTCGCGCCAGCAACAGGAGCCTATTTGACCCCAACATCTGAACCTCGTCAGCCAACTCAGCCGAGGGCGCTGGGTTCCAAAGTCCTCCCTGCGGAGGAAGTCGAGTACTACTTTGATCAATACTTCAAGCACTTTCACCCCTACTTTCCCATCGTGCGCATTCGTAAACCCAACAGGGTTTACGCTGCCTGTCCTATCCTCTTCTGGACCATCATAACCGTCGCCTGTCGCGCCTACGCCTGCGATGCAGAGCTCTTCTCCTTTCTGGCCCAGAACCTCCCGCGAGAGGTCTGGGCCGTCGCCATGACGCCGCCCCTCGACCTGCCCGCCATCAACGCCCTGCTCGTCCTGTCGGCATGGCGGTTTCCCTCGGCCAAAAACTCTGGTGACCCGTCGTCTTCGTATGTGGCCATCGCCATGAACGCTTCTCTCATGCCGGGTCTGCACACGGGACGGGGCGCCCACCGGGGAATTTTCAAATGTCTACCTTCACAGGACGGCAACTGACGAAGAAGCTTGTTATACGTGGACGGGTTACAATATTATGGCGCAAAGGTGAGTCCCCTCAACTCAACCCGTGGCTCCCCCGAAAGATAGAAGGGCCAGGACTCGCAGCAGCAGAGATCACCCCGCTTTGCTTTCACACCCGCCGCGCAAAAGCTAAGCCTCTCAAGGATCGCCTCGATCAACGGATACCCGCCGCCGGCAGGCTACTTCAACGAAGCGGCGAGCAGGGTCTCGGGCGGCCAGGTGGTCGAGGCGGCGGTGCGGCTCGACGGCGGGGACGGCGACGGCGACGGCGGGCGGACGGGGCCGCGGTTCCTCGTGCACGCGCCGTACAACGTTCATCGTACCGTGTTTGACGCCGTCGCTGTGGTCTTTGACGCGCTCATGTCGGGGTTCGCCGACGGGGTCGAGGATCCGGATGCCGAGGTGCGCGCTGTGCTGGCGGTTGTGAGGCGGTGCATCGTGCGGGAGGAGGACCTCGCGAGCTGGGTCTTGAGGCTGCTGGAGACGTGCTGGGGGGTGCGGCATCGGCTGGGCGCGCTGGAGGCGCCGGTGACGGAGTGTCCGAGGCGGGTCGGGGCGCTGGGGGCGTTTGGGTGTGTCAAACGGTGGAGGAGGCGGCTGGATGCTTTGAGGACGGAGCGGGATGCGCAGATCGGCCAGGGGGGTGATGATGCTCGTGAGTTCCAGTCCTCTTCTTGTGCTGTTTGGGGGAGACGGGGGTTTGGTTCCCGACTTGTACGGTTGCCTGCTAACAAACGTAGCTGCTGTCACCGCCGAGGATGTTGCGGTTGGGGATTTGATGCAGGATGTGGACTGGGCCATGTTGATGGATGTGATGGATGATTTTGACTGGGAAGGGAGCGCTAAGGCGGGCGGCGAGCCGAGCCTTTCGATGCCAGGATAAAATTCTCAGTTGTGGACAGGCGAAGATACACGAGGTAGATGAGTGATGAACATGTGTATCAAGTCAAGAGTATGGGCATATAATAGGTCAATAGGAAGCAATGCATGCCATGATATCCACGGTGACTACAGAGAATAAGAATGCCCTAAAGATGGAAAGGTTTAACACACATGAAAGATGGCAACAGTGGATATGCAGAGAGGCCAGTCACATTGCTCATCATACGTTTGATGACCTACGACCAGAGACGATTCTAACCTCCAAAAAAATGTTTTATCACTGTTGTATGTGATGACTACATCAGATATGGAATGTGACTAGTAAACATTGGCTATGGAAGCAAACCATGATCTGCAAGAGAGCGTTTGGCAATTAGTCGTATTACAGCGTACTTGCACTATGCTTGATGATCGAATGACGAACAAGATGTAATTGCTACTCCGTGTTCTTGTCTTTTTTTCTTAAACTCGCCTACCCGCCTCACAACCTCGTCCACGAAAAGTCATGGCAGCTTCTGCACCCTCTCCTCCTCTTCCGTCAGTAACAGGTCGCTAGTCTCGAGGTACGCCTCCCGAAACAACTCCCAGTGCCTCTCATCCGCCTCCAATCCTGTCCCCGGTCTCGGATAAAACGGATTGTTCCTGTAAAACTTAACGAAAGCATGCGCAACGCCCTCCTCGTCCATCGAAAGTTTCCGACAGCAATCAAAATCTAACACCCACAGAACATGGCTCCCCAGCAAGCCTTGGTCAAACACTTTTCCACCGGGAGCAAATGTCGCACCCTCGCCCAGGCCCCGAGCGGGTGCGAGCACGAACTCGACATCATTCGCATCCACTCGAGCCCTCCAGCGCATAAACGCCAAAGCCTGTGCCATGGCAGCCGCGGGAGCCGGCAAGTCAAGCCCGAGATCCTCCATCTGGTCTACGTGGAGAGGGTAATCTCTCAGACTGAAAGCCGCGAAGCGCGACGCAGCCCGGGGCCGAAAGCGACGGCGGCCGAGATAGGCGCGGATGATGCAGTCTTCATTCTTGGGGTCGGCGAGTATGCTTTCGCGTATAGGCTCGGGGCAGTACTTCTCGACGAGGAGGCGGCGAGCAGGCTCTGGCATTGGAGGGATGCGCTCGGAGAGCAGGGCATTACAAGAGGTGTAGGTCTCGGGCAGTTGGGGCAATATACCAGACCAAACCGCGGCGTCGTCGGCGGTGAGAAAGCCGGACAGAGCGGGATGTTGATCTGATGGCTCTGTGCCGAGGATGATGATAGCTGGCGAGCACCGATCGCTGCTCGGAGGAGTGTGCGGTGGACGTCATGTTCATTGACTAGGGACCGGCCCGGGCCGCCATCCTCACGTTTGAGGGCGATGCTGGATTTACTGGCCCAGACGGATCCGCAGTGGCCCATTCCGATTCTCTCAACGGCCGATTCACTGCCCGTGATGGCAGTGATAGCAATGCCCATGTTCTTGGGGCAGAAAGTGGCACGTCTGATTTGAATACACCTGTTTCTTTGGTGCTTTCTTGCTGTAGTGGTGTTGTTGCTGTTTTGTGATTTTGATGGCAGAGAAATCACAATCAGAAAACTCCAGCTGCTCTATATATTCGATCTCGCAGAGATAGGTTTGGGAAAGTTAGGTGGGAAGGATTGTCCTTACCGGCCGCAAAATATTTCAGCCACAAACTACGTCCCGAACCTAATACCTGGTGTTGGCCTACCTTTCTGCGCAACTGACAGCAGGTTCATTCAAATTCAGACGTCGCACGTGATACGTACTGGCTACAAAAGAAAATACGCAACGGTGTGCCACACACTTTGTAGGTTGCATCACAAGATGTCTGCGCATGCTCGTAGTACACGACAAGTGCGGGTTTGAGCACGGTGTAAAGGTAAAAAGAAGAGGGGGACAACAGCAGGCTGAGTCCAGTTATAACATGGTTTGCGATTTATTTCGTGGCCAAAGGCTTCATGTCACGGGTATCATCAGGGTCATCGGGATCATCAGGTCTACTCCCAGCGCCTCTCGCAGCTCGCAATCCACACGCCCCAACCAAGCACCAACCCTTGAATGGCTTTGCTGTATGCCTTCCTCGTAGCCCTCGACTCGAGAAGTGTCACGTCCAGCTGTCTGCTGAGGGCCACGACTTGAAATGAATCTTTCAACGACGTCGTGTCAGTAGTAAATCAAGACGAGAGATTCCCACTGGTAATTTTCTTACATCGATGCAGTCCATGGTTCAGCATGGGTTTCGGCGCCGTGTACACTCTTTTTCTGCTGTTGCGACCAAAATGAAAGCCGCCGTCGAGTCTGCACTTTTCATCATCGACGACAACAAAGTCCTCTGGTTCAACGCTCAGCTTTGCGGCCGGTATACCCGCGTATAAGCCGTGAACAATGGGCCTGCACCACGGGGCATCCAGGTCCTCGATAATGAGCAGCCACTCGCGGACCTCGTCCTTGATAGACGCAGGACAGTTCCACGACAAACAGGGCATGCGACCGCATTCTTTGAAGAGATCGTTGCGGAGGTACTCGGCATGGAGTTCGGCGGGAGAAGGACCACAGTCTGAGGAGACGATGGTAATGGTCGGGTCCGGGTGGACAACGAACGCGGGGCCGTGGTGGAAGGGCCGATCATCGAGGGAAGAGATGTTCCTGGCTCGCTTCAGAAGACAGCCGATGGTTTTCTCGAGGCGGGGCGCCATGAGATGAATGCTGGAAGTCATCATATATAATGACGTGTTTTTACTTCTAAAGATTTGCCTTGCAGGTAAATCGTTGTTCGCATGGACTCGGACAACCCTGGGAGTGACTGGTGTAGGCCGGTGCGGGCAACGAGATGCAGGTGTTTGATGTGATATGGGTCACGGCACTAAGGTTAGGTAGTCGTCATTGAAGTACTAAAACAGGCTCCGCCGCCGCCATGTCATCTGAAATTGATGCTCTGGGATGTGGAGAGCGCAGACTGCGGACGGTGCCGAGTTCGGCGAGATGATACGATGAGTTGAGGCTCATTCGTGTACAATTGAGGCGCAGCTACGATGTGACATGACAAACGTGATTCTTTGGCTTGAACACGATCACATGTGTCGACGAAAGTACCCACGCGAACGATATCGAGGTGCGTGTACGTTATGCTTAGTAGGCAGGTGAATAGGAGCTGGTGATGGATATCTGCTTCGGCAAGGTTGGTACCTACCTACCAAGTAGCTAGGCATTTGTGGAATACCTACCTTACCTACCTTATTAGGTACCTGGGTAGGTACCTAGGTGAGCTCCTGCCAAGGCCTGCGGTTTTAGGCCAGGGCAGCTGCGATGGCCCAAGCTCTCGGCATGCAGCTGCCGAAACAACACCTCGAGGCAGTAGCAGCGGAATTAGCTCCCTGTTCTCCTTCCGGACCCCTGGCGCTCCTTGCCTCGGCTTCTGCTTGGGTCTGGGTCTGGGTCTTGGCAGATCTGTACCTCAAGTTGAAGGCAATCACACAAATACCTCTGTATTCTACAGCCCTGACGGACGCCATCCGAACTGTATCGCTACCCATAATCTTTCCATCACCCCCAACATGTCAGTCATGTTTCGGTACACTGCAGCGGCGCCACGACAGGCGGTCTGGGCGACTGCTCGAAGTCTGCCAGCTGCTCCTTGGTCTCGCCAGACATTCTCCTCAGCTTCAAAACCATTGTCCCGACCTGCAAACCGTAGCTTCCCTGCCATCTTCATTCGTGGCGGCACATCCAATGGCCTCGTCATACACAAGAGCGACCTCCCTCCCGAGGAAGACTGGCACACCGTTTTGCCTGCTGCCATGGGTTCGCCTGACCCTCACGGCAGGCAATTGGACGGCATGGGCTCTGGCATATCATCCACTTCCAAGATCATCATCCTCTCACCACCATCACGCCCCGGCGTTGATGTCGACTATACTTTCGTACAGGTCGGCATCAAAGACGGAAAGCTCGACATGGCGGGCAACTGTGGTAATCTCTCGTCTGCCGTTGGGCCCATGAGTCTTGATGAAGGTCTCGTCACAACCCCACAGCTCACGACTGTCGACGGCCACACTGTAGCATCCGTCCGCATATTCAACACCAACACCTCCAAGACGATCGTTTCGCAATTTCGAGTCGAAGGTAGCCCACCCCGTTTCGTCCCGCAAGGCGATTACATCATGGACGGGGTGCCTGGCCCCAGCAGCAAAATCACACTCAAATTCGTCGACCCTGCTGGTGCCAAAACAGGCAAGGCTCTGCCGACGGGCAATCCCGTGGACATTCTTCGCCTCGATGACGGATCATCCATTGCAGCGTCACTCGTCGACATCAGCAATCCGGGCGTCTTCATACGAGTGACCGACCTCAACCTGCCGAACCACGGTAGCCTCACTCCCGACTCGGTTGAAGCGGACCTGCCGCTGAAGGCCAAGCTGGCAAACATTAGGGCCGCTGGCGCCGCAGCCATGGGCCTGGATCCCTCCATCGAGAGCGTTCCCAAGATTGTCCTTCTCTTCCCTCGCGATGACTTGTCTGGCGTCGATTCGGACGTAGATATCCGCTGTCTGGCGCTGTCTATGGGCCAGGCGCATAAGGCTGTGCCCCTGACCTTGGCACTGTGCCTGGGCGCCTCGTGTCGTATCCCCGACACCCTGGCGTATCAACTCTTGCCAGAAGCGAGGAGGAGCTCACAGTCCGCTGTCGTCATTGCTCATCCCAGTGGCAGGGTCGAGATTGGAACGACAATGGGCGACGAGGCCGGGATCGCCTCGGCCGACCTTCTCCGTACCGCACGAGTGCTCATGCGCGGCCAGGTTTATTATTGAGGACCTCACCCGGTCCGCTATGCATTGATAAGCAACCTAGTACAGCGCCGCTGTACACTATCACATTTGCACACTGGACCTACCTAAATATCCCAACACAGCCCCTGTCACGGCGTAATGACATGCCCCCCCCCTGGCTTGTGCAGCGGCAAACTTGCTGCAAAGGACCTCGACACCTTTGGCGATCGGCAACTGTGCAGCAGCGTCGAACAGCAACACGCTATAATCTGACGTGCAGCGGCCAACACCGACTGAATCCAGGCGGGTAGACTCCTATGGCTTCAGCACCCCCGGCTTGCTGAAAATACTTTGATTAACACCGTCAAATCCACCTCTTCCAGGCTTGCGGCTGGTCGGTTCGATAGGGCTCTGTCCGCCAACTGGGTTCTACCCGATTGCTGATGACCTGTGAGCTCATGTAAAACCACGTGCAAGAAGTTGCCGACAAAGTACGCATCGAGTGACGCTCTCTCACCACTGTCATATCCCAGGTATTTCTGGTGTTCCATTCCATTGGTCTAGGTCCGACCAACAATTTACAGAAATCCACCCCCCTCCTGGCGCGCGCTGTTATACCGTGGCAGTGCACATAGGGTGCACTGTCACACGCGGTCGGTCGCTGACTCCATATCGGGCGACCTGGTCCTGGCTTCGCGGATCTCCAGACTCTACCAACCAAGAAGGCAGCTCATATATCCCTCCTTTTCCCGCACTTTCGAAGCCCAACTTTGAACTCCATACTTCCAAGAGCTGCGGGAGAATGGACAACTTCAATAACTGCACCGTTGAGGGTGGCGCCCTAGTGACCACCAGACGAGGACTTCAGGTATCAAAAGCGAAACACAATGGGATTTCGTTCGTCAACATCATTGCTGGCCCTGAGCAAACATCAGAGGAGGCTCCACAAACTCAGTTGAGCCGCAGGACCGATCTTGTTGATCTGTCACAGCCATTGGAGAGACGCTTCAAGTTTGTTACTAAGAATCAAGAGCCCAGGAAACCACGGGTCTTTCAGCCCAAGAAAACAACGCGGGCTACTCAAATCGACAGCAACAAGAAAAGTAAGCCACAGAAAGCGCAGACCAACGCCCCTAGCATTCTATCGAGCCAAGCCGGGCCGATATATCTCTACGATCCAGCTCTTGCATCCTCGGAAGAAGTCGAGTCACTGGACAAGGCTCTTGAGGAATTCCAGCACTGCTACCAAAGTATACCTTTTCTGAGCACAACCTCTTGGCGTGCGGAAGTATGGGCAACCCACAATTATTCTGTGCCAATGTCTGTGACCAAGCAGAAGCTACTGCACCTATACATGCGATTTATCCCTTTCAAGATGTATCCTCTTGAATGCATTCTCAGTCACAACCCGACTCGGTCGCCGAAATTCTTCGAAAGGTTGCAAGTCACACCGAATTCTCTTGTCTCCGTAATTGTGGCAGGGAGTCTAGTGGAGGCTGTACTCAAGGGCGAACGGTGCAGTGACGACATGCTCGAGCAGGAGTCTTATGCTTGTGGCGTCGTCAATGGAGAACTGCGGAAAATCGCAAGACTTCGTGGTCAGGAGGCCCACGGTATTATGGAGTGCATATGTTCTATGGCCGTCGGAAGTGTATGGTCTCCATGAGCGGTGCCCCATGCTGAGTGACGATGGCTGACACTGTCTGATCACAGGCCCACCTAGGTCGTCACGACCACTGGCACATGCATATGAAGGGACTGAAGCAGATTCTTGAGATGACTGGTGGCATAGACAAAGAATGGACCTATGTAATGAACAAAGTGCGACGGTACGTGCCTCTACAGTCTCGCTCAGCATCATGGATGGAGTACTGACGTAGCGCATAGAGCCAATGTCAAGGCCGCGGCCGCACTAGCCACCATGCCATACCTCGAGTATGAGAGGATATACGGCAACATATCAGACTCTCTCCCGAGGACAAAGCGCGCGCGCCTCTCCAAGGCTGTCAAGGGGATACTGGCTTTCTGCAATGTGCAGGAGGTCATATGCGAATCCTTTGCCAGTCTCGTTCTCTTCAGTCATGCCGTCTCAACAGCCCTGGCCGCCAAGAAGCGCACCATTCTCTATGACCCGGAGGTTTTTATCGAAGAGTGGCTATGGGTCATGTACCAGCTCATCCGCTTCCCGGGAGTGCTACGTGACGAGAGCACACAGATCCCAAGTATTGAGCTTGATCTCAACCTGGGCGAGCGTCGTTACAAGGAGCCATTAGTTAGAGGCTCACAGTACTGTGCGCCGGGCAGGCTCGTGCCCGCTCACGCGGACAACATCCTCGAGCCGGCGTTGCGTCTCGCTGGGTTGCTCTATGTTGATGCACTCGTCCCTGACGAGCCAAGGACACTAAACGGATATGCGGTACTTCTGGGGCTTCTCACGACGGCCATTGATACCATACTCATGCGCCTAGCGGCGCGAGGGTGGGAATATCAAGATGATGCTACCTTCGACGATGGACTCCCAGCCATGGCGGTCATGAAGCCAGTCCTGATATGGATTGGCTTGACAGGGTACGTTATCGCATGGACGGGTGATGGAGAGCGATTCTGGGGCCTAGGAAGGTACGACCGTAGCATGTACTGCGAGTGTTTGGCCAAGGTCATCGGGTCCACGCCACAGAGTGTTGACGCGTTACTCGAGAGCGACCTGGCTCTTTGTGGTCTTTTGGACCCAAAGAACTTGTTGCGGAAGGAAATCGCAACAAGAACACTCTTGAAGGGGATTTTGAAAGAGTATAGGGATGGAGAGGAGTTCAAGTGTTGATTTTGACGGAAGCAGGGGCTGCTGGTGATGGGGGGGTTGATACACGTGAATGGAACTGAATGGAGTACTTGTGCTATGATCATACAGAAAGTTATCATGTTCCCACAGGAATCATTGATTGTTCTCACGGAAGTCATTTGCCAACACCAGCATTGCTAGAGTCGATGTGACAAATGCCTACCTAGGTAGGGTATCTACAAGCATGTGTACTGTCCCCCTTTTTGGCCAGCTCGCTGTGTTCACCAAGAAAGTGTGTGCTCCACTTTTCCCCCTACTTTTGTCGGTGTGTGTGTCGCATCTCGCAATCTCAACTGTTTCTCGCAGACAGACTCTGCAGGAAATCATCTCATCAGCAATTGAAGACCGCGAATGCCGAGTAGTCTCGCTATCTGTCGTAACGTCAAAGCCCCGAGGCTCACTGGAAAGTCATGGCCGACCGTGATGCGGGAGGCATGTCGTCCATACACCCCTATTACCCCCTGGGTATTCCCATCCCGCACTACGCCGCGAACGAGACGCCCCTCCCTCGAGTCCTGGTCCCCTTTGTCGCCGTCCTGCTTCTGCCCATACCGATCGCTTTTGTGACGTCGCGACTGATCAAGCCTTCCCTCGGAGGCCTCGACCGCTTCGCCGTGTGCTGGTTTGCCCTCGGCGCGTTTCTGCATTGCTGCTTTGAAGGTGAGTCCTCCCAAACAAAGGGACCGACTACCTACGAGGTGCACGGCACTGATACCTGGCAGGCTACTTTGTCTGGAACCATGCGACGTTGGCAGGTCTCCAGACGCTCTTCGCCCAGGCGTGGAAGGAATACGCCCTCTCCGACTCGCGCTACCTGACGTCCGACCCGTTTGTGGTCTGCGTCGAGGCTCTCAGCGTTGTGCGTCTCTTCTGCCCCTCCTCCGTTCTATCTGTCACCTCCACGAGGCCGGCAGGTACCCAACCTTTTGGCCCTCTGGGGGCCAAACGAGCGACGACGATGCAGATTCGTCTCCCGTGATGCACGTGGCCGAACAAACGCTGACGAGATTCTCTTCCCCAGATCATCTGGGGTCCCATCTCCCTCTCCGTCACATTCGCCATTCTCTCGGGCAGCCGCCTCCGCCACCCGCTGCAGCTCATCATATGCGTGGGCCACCTGTACGGCGTGGCGCTGTACTATTCCACGAGCCTCGCGGAGCGGGCCCTCGTCGGGACGATGCACAGCCGGCCGGAGGTGCTGTATTTCTGGGTCTACTACGTCGGGTTCAACGCGCCTTGGGTTGTGGTGCCGCTCAGTGAGTTCTCCTTTCCTTCCGCCCACTTTCTCTGTCATGTCGAAAAGAACAAACCCCGAGGAAACCTGGCGATCGGGCGCCTGGATTCGAATGCCGGCTGATGCGATGCAGTTCTCCTCGTGCAAAGCCTCGGAGCTATGGGCAGGGCGTTCGAGGCATTGGAGGAGAAGGAGACGGCCGAGGCTGCGCTTGCGAGCCGGAAGGGTGATG